CACACAAACATTCCACAAACCAACATATATACACTTCCCACACACACACACACACACACACACACACACACACACACACACACAGGAACCTACACAGACACACAAAATTACAGGCCAATGGGTATACATCCAGACACACATACTAAAACACAAGATTGCATGCAGCCACATATACACACTCAAACACACACACACACACACACACACAACACACACACACACACACACACATAAAAGTCAGTAAACAATGACATCCATGAACAAGAACACAACACTCAGTCAAAACTAAACAGACGGACACAAACAGAGGCACGAGAAATGAACAAGGACGCAAAAAGTGACACAAAAGATATGAAGACAACGCAGACGTAAAAGTACACAGTAGAATATATATGCATCAAAAACATGAGCACAGACGCACAAAATGAAAGATATGAACACAACACAGACACAAAAGGATTCACACTCAAAATGCATATCCCATATGGCACACACACACACACACACACACACACACACACACACACACACAGACAGAAGGTGGACAGAAGACACACAAAAATATAAACCCACACTTACAGAAAGACACAGTTTAATGCACACAATTCATGATCAAACACACACACACACACACACATGTACAGATTTACACACTGACACACACTGATAAAACTCTCACTGACTGGAAGACACACACATCTGATTTCAACACATTACACACGCACAAACACACAACTGCAAATCAACAATAAAAACACAGCTAAATAAACCTTGTTAACAAACTGTGTTAAGCACTGTTACTGTGTGATGGATGTTAATCACTTTTAATAAATGAAACCATTTTGTTAGATTAATAAATATTTATAAAAATAAATAATTAGTTACAGCCCTAATGCACTATTGTCTTATATTATATTCTCTAGAATAAAACTAATACTTCTAATTTATTTTATAGTGTAAGTGACAAACCCTGTTCAGTGCTGTTTAAAGTTCTCAAACACTAAACTGACCACAAACACACACATAAAAATGCACACACAGTGACACACACAGTGCTGGTTTTCTCCAACAATAGTCTGCAGTGTGTGAGTGCATCTGTACATGTTGTTATTGTTGTTGTTGTGTTGTTTTTTTCTTTCTTTACATTCAGCCATGCACAAATGTTGTATTGTTGTCCGGACTCAGAGGCTCGACATTCTGGTTCTCGTCCTCTCTAATGTATCTTTGTTTAGGCAAAACTGTGCACGCGGAATGTGCTGCATGTGTGTGCACGTGTACACATGTGCGTGTGCACGTGTGTCCTCCGAGAGACGGCGAGAAAAAAAAGGAAGGAAAAAAAAGAGAGGTCAGGTTTCTATCCCATGATGCAACTGTTCTCTTCCCCCCCCCTCCCCTCCTCCTTCTCCAAGCTGGTTGCCAGTGGCAACGCAGTTATAATGAGGTCAGATGGACATCCAATAATATTCACCAGCCAAACCAGCAAGCAGCCGAGAGCGAGGCGTGTTGGGACAGACAGCACTCAAAGTGTCAGAGGCTGATTCAGCAACAAGACAAGATGGCCGCCGAATAAATATAATAAGTTGGCACTGATTCATGAAGTCACACAAAGCAAAACTGATCTGGAATCAGTTCGTGTGCCGTAGCTCTCACTGCTGTTCAGCTGTTATTTACCTGGTGGTTAGTTGAGCTTGATGGGTTTAGTCGCAGTAAGGAAACACAAAAAGTAACTTCATTAAAAAGTTATGAAATGTTTGGAGATGTATTTTATCTGACGCTCTTTCAGCTGAGGCACAAAGTTTTAATCCACTATTTAAGCAACTCAGAGCTGATGTGGAAATCAATTATTTGTTAACAAAAAGTCGATTAATTCACTTTTATTTCACCGCACAGAACCACTGGCACATTTAAATGAACTATATTCTTTACACACGTTTGTTGCCTGTGTCACATACAGTGTTGGATTTAAACCTGTCATATATAAAAAAGCACTTAAAGTATCTAAAGTAAAAGATTTAGGTTGTATTGTTAAACAACCAATAATACTGGATTATTATATAACTGACACATTAAGATGTAAGCAGCATTTTAATGTTGTAGCTGGTTGAGTACAGCTCCTTTAAACAGTTTTTTGGATAGTTTAATCTATAATAATTCATTTCATTTATCAATGAAATGTTTTGGTAACAAAGTGTTTATTTTATCAAACAAAAGAAGTAAAAAGTACAATATTTTACACAGAAACATAATGGACTATAATGTACCTTTAAAACTGTGTGTTTGAGTAAATGTACTTACCTTTGACCACTGGTCACATGATACAAGATAAAATACATATATCTTTTATCACAAAAGGTGAAATAGAGGTCTAGGAACAGTCTTCTACTTGAAAAGTATCATAAGTGATTTCCAACCATCAGTGCAGACTCAACATTCACCTCAGTGAATTGCAAACAAGTTCCCAGAGTTTGTTAACTGTTTCATGAAATGAATGGAAACCAATGGCGGTCTGGACTTCAGAGATCTGGATCAAACACAGCTCATGAAGCTCATTCATGAGTTGGCCTTTGGATATGCTGACTGGGCAACATGTAATCAATAAATCAGTTAAAATAAAGTGCACATTTAACAACCTGGAGCCGTACTTACAAACTTAATTGTTATCAAGTCGTCTCATAAGTTAAGGATCTGTTTCTGAGAGTCAGCGAGGGCCACAGTACTGAATCTTTTAATCAGTTAATGACATTAAAGAGGCTATTTTATTTTTTTACACTAAATATTAGAAGATAGGTCTGTTTGGATATAAAAAACAGAATAAATGATCCTAAAATGACAATTTTCCAACAGAGTTAAATACTTGGCAGTGTAGATAAGGCTTTAAAACAACATCTAGACCCCAATGCAGAGAAATAAAAACACAAAATATTGTTGAATTAATAAATAAAAGGTTTTTCTCAGGTGGGGTTGTACTGGAGGGGGCGATGGAGTCGCGACCTCCGTTGAGAAATATCCTGTTTAACACCCTGAGTCTGACACACACAATAAGACATAAAAAGATTGATGGTCTCCTGTGTCAGTGCCAGGACCTGGTGGCATCCTGGCAGATTGTTTTTAATATAGTGCTACAGTCATGTTCCCAAATTAACACACAACACTGGGAGAAACAAGAAGCCAGTGAACATGTTGCAATAAGAGAATGCCCTCCCGCCCTCCATATCAGCGCCTGTGGTTACACACTGTTGTGAAATGGAGGTAAGTCAAGTTTTTTAGGAAAGATTTCAATCCTTCCAGACCTCAGACCTCAAACCAAAGACATTAAAGAAGAGGAGCGAGGAATGATGGGGGAAAAAAGAGGGGGTGGGGGTGTGTAAGAGACCGGGGATGGGAGAGAAAGAAAGACTTGATTGAGGTGTGAATGAACAGTTTTCTTTCATGGTTTCGTCTGTCTCGGTCTCCGCAGTCAGTCAGACAAAGGATCGAGTGCCTCTGAGCCTCCATGCCACGTCGGTCTGAAGGATCCATTTTAGTCTGCCAATCAAAATGAACCCAGGTCATTTACATACTGTATTCACAGAGGCCCCACTCAAAACCAGTGGAACACCTCCCCCTAGTGTTCACGGTAGGGCAGTAAATGAACCCCCTGGTCATCAGATGTCAGGTCCAACATGTGTGCAGAGGACAGACGCTGTGGAGGTCGATGTAAACAATATAGCTGAAATAACGTTAATAATGTTTATGATGCTACTAAAAGCGCTTTAAACGTGGTGAATAATATGTCTATCCTGTCTTTAAATATTCAAAGATGAATGATTTTCTAATGATGGCTGGGTGCACTGCAGTGCCCATTTTAATTAAAATGTTTAAGAATTCACTTAAAAAGCCAACTTAGGTATATTTGCTATATATTTAAGGAAAAGAATAAGACATTTATCATGCTACTTGCAGCAAAATGTAGAAATAACCTTTAAAGGACCAGTGTGTAGGATTTAGTGGCATGTAGTGGTGAAGTTTCATATTGCAACTAACTGAACACCGCTGGCGTCTGTATGTCGACCTGGGAATGAGAACGGTCTGTGAGGAGAAACTACGGTGGCCGTATCTACAGACAGTGTTTGGTTTGTCTGTTCTGGGCTACTGTAGAAACATGGCAGCTTAACATGCACTGTTAAAAAAAACTTGGATCTTTAAGTTTTACAAACAAATATATATAATTTCTATATTGACTGATTAATATTTTCAATTGCAACAATTAGATTTTCAAGCACACAATTTATATTTGGTTAAAGCTCATTGTAAATGTTATTGAAAATAATAGTAATTAAAAAAAAAAAAAGGTCAGCAAAACCTTTTTAAATATATTTCAAGACTTAAAAGTTTTTTATCAGTGTGGAAGGGGACCAGCAGTGGTTCCTATATTCAGGTGATTATACACTAATGAAAACATAAATATTACTCACTGGACCTTTAAGAACTTTCAAGGGATCACATGATCGATCTCATGTTACGCTCAGACCAGAACAGCCAGTCAGACACAAGGGTTTACCCCTAAAATATTTATTATAGGTTTAATATATTTATGTTGTGTGCACCTTATGTTGAAGGCTGGGTGTGTTTTCTTTATAGCTCCAAGACAAATATTGGGAAAAAAAGTAGAATTTTTCTTTTGTTATGCTGCATATAAATGTTTCCATATCCTCTTTATAAGTATTAAAAGTTCAAGAATTTATTTGGAAAATTGAGACCTTCCCATCCTACTGCTGCTCTTGAACATGCTACATTATCTAGACTACAAACTAAAATCTGGAGACTTGTTTTCCATTAATCACAAGATAACGCAAAGATTTTATTTTATTATTTTATGCATTTTTATTCAAGACAAAGCCATTTCATTCAAAAACAAAGAATGACTGATGACAAAAAGGAGGAAAGAGTGGCTAAGAGGAAGAAAAAAGTGACTCCAATGTGAATTAATAAAAATAAAATCAAGTCAACGTGAAACAACATTCAAGTACTGTTTTTATTAACACCCACCAGTTCCAACATTCATCTTTCTATACAGAGCTGTATTTATTGCTTTAACTGTGAATATGTTGTTGTTGTTGTCGTTGTTTATTCTGCCATTTGAAGCTTATTATGAGGATTGTTTAGTTTGTCAAACCAGGCCGAGCAGGCTGATTCTCTCTCAAACCGTTGGCACTCAACCGTCAAGTAATAATAAAAATATCTAAGAAATAAAAACTGTGTCGAAAAATAAAACCCCCTGCTAAAATAATGTTCCCCAAGAAACAATAAGGAGCAAAGAAATATATATAATACTTGTAATCATCCATACATTATCAGAATAAACTAATCTCCAAAACACTGGAAAAAAGAGGAATTAGTTCATTTTAATGGAGATACCCTCAGTTTAAGGATTTAAGTTGTTAAGTTGTTTAATCTCTTTGGCCCAGCACGATCAGTATTAGAGAGCGTTAATAATCTATCATACACAAACATATCATCAATTATTCCACCTTAAACAGAAACACCAGTTAGTGAACTGTTATTATTTGTTACGTATAATTTAGCAAAAATTAAGTCAAAGCTCTAATTATATTATAATATTTACAATTTCAGTGTGAATTTGAAAACACACTTTCTTAATCCAAGATGTTTTTACGGGAAGGGTATCCGGGTATAACTGAAGACATTACAGGTTCAGGTGGAAAATGAGCTGATTTCTGGGGTTCGGCTGAGATTTTCCGATGCCCACAAACACCAATTAGTCTGCTGCCGGCCAAAGCGACAACACAGATGAACCTTTAAACTGAGCGGTAATTCCCCTTTAAGGCCTCCAGGAGGTGCTAACACGCCAGCGAGCACTTGAGGTTCCAGTCAGGCCAGGAGGAGAGCGAAGCAGGAGCGGACAATGTGTGGAGGCTGTGTGTGAAATGTTTGCTCTGTATCCACGTGTCCTCTAAGCCAGGAAAAGTTAGAGCCCGTAAAACACTTCACATTCAGTATGCTTTAATGTGCTCAGATAATGCGATCAATCGTCTTCTTTTTAGGATTTGACTGGCTTTAAGCAATAAGGCAGCAATGTTCTTGTAGGAAAGGAAATAGTTTCAGGCATTTGCTACTGTGGCAGCTGGAAATTTCAATGCGTGCACGCACACACACACACGAGTAAATGAGGTGAAGTCTAGTATTGCTGCTGCAGTAAAATGAAGGCGTTTGTGGGGTTTCTGTGTCCCAATGGTGTCTTAATGGTGATGGTGTCTTAATAGGAGCAGGGTCCTCTATCAGTGTCCTGTTAACTTCAACATTCTTGGCTTTAATCGCACAAAAAACCTTATTTTTCTTTGGGAGAACTCATTAATTCAGGGCTTTCGCTCATCTTCAGCAGCAGAAGATCTGACAGCCTTAGCTCTAGTTTTGTGCCATAACGTGTTACAGCAGAGTGCTGTGCACTGAGGCTGTCAGTCTGTGACCATCCATTAGTTTGATACTGACAGGATATTGTCTGAAAATGAATGTAGGATGGATTCGTTGATGTTAAAACTCTATATGCAACAACCGTTAATACTTTATATCAGGTGGTACGCGGTGAGTTTTCAGTTGCAGGCAGATTTGGAGTTGGAGTGTGTTGGTTCAGGATGTGATGTATCCACAGTAAAGAGGTCAGGAGAGAGAAGAGGCAGAGAAAGGACAAATAAACCGTATCATTGTGTCCAAGTTTGGTGATTGTTTCATGTTTTTTATGTTGCCAGACGGTTTGAGGAAACAGTTTGACTGCTTGTCAACCTGTTTATGTTCCAAATAAAAGATTATTTTTGAATAAATTACATTTTTCTAAAGCATCATTGTCACATGATAGCAACGATGTGGAGTTTGCAACTTCAATCATCACTCTTGTTGTTAGATTATTGCAAATATGCACGTTGGCATTATTAACTACTGCATGTACATGTGTGCATAAGTGTGCATAAGTATGTACTTTGTCTTTTTGACTGCGAAGCAGAAGTCAGTAAAGCTCTATTGATAATCTAATTTGCCAGTTCTATTGAGTTATCTAAGTCTCTTTCTACTGATATGTTTTTATTTTTAGCAACAAAACTCTTAAAATCAATGAGTAAACGGGACTGTTGAACCTCTGATGGTCCACTGAGCTGCAGGGAATTTGGCTGTCTGTCTCTTTATTAAAAACAGCTTTATTTTAGTTGAGGAAGGTTCCTGTTCAGTGTGACAATGCAACGGTCAGCTCAGTTTCAACAGTTTTTAATTAAGATTAATTAATTAAGATCTTGAGTGAAGTTGCTCATCCTGCTCCTCAAACTGCTCCTGACAGAGATCTACATCCACAAAGGTTTGTGGTCGTACAAATGCTGCGGATGTGCAACAACGTACTTCAATGTCTTTCCAGACGAAAACTCGTTTTGTCCTTTTCAAACTCATCCAGAAACTGGAAAGAGCCAGTTTATTTCTCCACACATTTCCAGGCTGTTTCCATTAAGTCAAAACCTTAATGGAAAAGCCAGAAGAGAAAAAGAAGCGTGATAAAGGCTGACGGAAACAGTTTTGAATACATCTCGACACTCTAATGCCCGTTTCTTCTTGAAAGCTTGTGTTTGTCACATCTACAGCAGATCAGTTTCACAATAAATTTCAAGAAATAAAACCCCGAAGCATGATCTACAGTTCTTAAACTTCACCGCTGGAGCAGAAATCTTTTGAGAAATGTGATCGTCTAAGATGGTGGTTGCCAGTTTGAGCTGTAACCGTGACTCCATCCACTGTTTGTATCTTTAAGGCGTCTGAGGTTCAAACCCTCTCTGTTGCTCAACCTGCCTCCTCCTATTGTTAAAACCCCCGTTTCCTGGTTAGTCAGGAGTGTTGTTCACATGTGTTAGTCATATTATATCGACACACATCTATGATGAAAATAAAGCCTGCCGAGAGCCCGTCTGTTCCAACACCACACCCACGTTAAGTCACTACGGCTGAAGGCACTGTTTAAACATGTGTCTACCTCGTCCACCTTCAACACCCTCCCCCTTCCCCCCCCCCCCTCCCCGGGTACTCCCGCCCTCTCTTCCCGTCTGGGTTCATCTCTTTCCCCCACCCCGTCCACCTCCACCTCGTCTTCCTCTTTTGGCGTCTATAGCAGGACGCAGCGCTTCTTGGGTTTGTTGTCTGGGGGCTCCAGAGCTGCCAGGATGGCCTCGTCGAACACGTTCTTCAGTCCCCTCTGAGGAAGAGACAGAAAGAGGGAAACACTCGTGAGCAATGTTTCCATCTTACGCAAAGTAAAATAAAAAAACCTAAGTAGAACTGCCAGAAATAATAAGAAAACAACTCTATAAATTACTGTAAAAATGTTTTCTGTCTGAGAAGGAAAAGTTGGACAATCATAAAAGAGAAGCTGATGGAAAAATTCTTTATGAGTACAGTTTGACATTGTGGTTGTTTGTTCTTCTGCTGCAGACGAAGCATTAGCGTCATTCTGAAACTCTCTGTCACATGCCTTCATTAGAAACTAAATGAAGCAGATGAGGAGCAGAGGTGTGAGGAGCGTATGTAACTGCATCGTCCCTGGTTTCAGTACAGGGACAGAGGGCGTCTCTTTGTACTGCTGGCAAACGTCACGCAATCACACTGAACCAGCAGGTCTGAGTCTGAATCAGCATCTTTAACTATTACTATTAGTTTTTAATTATCAATTCGTCTGACCATTATTCCCTCGATTTATCATTTGCTCTATAAAACACAAGAAATCAGTGGAAAATGTCTGTCCCTGCTTCCTACAGTCCAGGGTGACATCTTCAAATGTTTTTTCAGTAATTCAATACGATAAAAGACATAAAAGGGCAGCAAACTGTCTTCTGAGGCTGAAACTATAAAATATTTGGCATTTTAACTTGAATAAAAAAAACACAAACAATGAATCATTATCTATATAGTTGCCAACAAATTGATTAATCGACCAATAACTGTCGAATCATCTGCTTGTTTTCGTGGAAGGTTTTTTTTTTCTTCATTAAAGCGTAATAATTCAAAATGTTACCCTTTTAATGACCTGACCTATAAGCTGTAGCTCCAGGCCTGTGGCTCACTATAGAACATCTGTGTACCTGTGTAAGAGCAGAACACTCCACGTATTTGACAGCCTTGAGCTCACGAGCCAGTTTCTCTCCGCTCTCACAGGTCAGGGCTCGCTGTTTGTTCTTAGCCAGTTTCTCCAGAGTGTTGCTGTCGTCTCTCAGATCCACCTGAGTCCCGACCAGCAGGAAGGGCGTCCGCGGGCAGTGGTGTGAAATCTCTGGCACCCACTGTGAAGAGGCAAGGTCAAAGAAGGGTGAGGCATGTAATCTGGAAGGCCAGGGTCTGGAATAAACCATTCTGTCGAGCTCGAATGCAGCAAAATGTGTTTTCAATCTAGAGTTAAAAACCCAGCAAGATCTAAACAGTGGATGGTAAAAATGTGGCTTCAAACTGGATAAAAAGTCACCACAATGAATGTATATTGTGTATCCTGCTTTTAGACATTTTAATGTTACATATTATAACTTTAAAGCCCAAAAGCCAAACAAACCTTAACTTCAAGCTGGAAATGACAAACGCTGACTGAATAACCGGACTCACCTTCTCTCTGACGTTCTCAAAAGAGGAGGGCGATACGACAGAGAAACAGACGAGGAAGACGTCGGTCTGAGGGTAGCTGAGGGGTCGCAGCCTGTCGTAGTCCTCCTGACCTTCAGGGGGAGACACACAAACACTGTGATTAACAGCAGACAACAAACACTGTGTACAAAATGGAGCAGGTAAAGCTAAAAACCAGCCACAGTTTATCTCCCAAACCCATAGGCAGCTTTCTGCTCCTCGTACTACAACAAATACTGTTGCTGCTCCAATTACCACCAACACAAATCCACATTTTTATCAACTACATGCACTTTATTTTTACCTGCAGTGTCAAACAGTCCCAGAGTGTACGGCTCCCCGCCGATCATCACTGTCACTGCATAGTTATCAAAAACCTAAAGGGGGGACAGAGGGTGAGAAGAGAGGAATGATGGGAGGGGAGGGTTGGGGTTGGAGAGAAGGGAGCACAAAGGAAGGTGAAAATAGGAAGTGAACAAAAAGACATGATCTCAGGCATTCTTTAAAACAAAACAGGAAGCATACTTCTCCTCTTTATGAGGCGTGTGAGACATACATACACACACATAGGTTCTGTACTATACTTATAAAGGACCCTCATCCCCTCGCCTGTAACACAAACATAACTCTGCAACCAAACAGCCCTTTGAAGAAGTGAGGACCAGACAGAAACTTTGCTTTCCAAAAATGTCCTCCCTGTCAAGTTCTGAAACTCACGCCTGTCCTCGCAGAGATAGAAGTATACGAGTGTACACACAGCAGAAGGTTTCACATCATTGTGGCACTTTCAGTGATTTTAGGAAGATGTTATCCTCTCAGTTTGCTTCGTGTTCACACCGACAGAGCGAACAGGGCCAATCTTTGGCTGAGTAAGTGGGTATTTTACAGTACAGACCACCCTGCATGTGTCAAAGGTCAGAGGGCTTAAACAGAAGAAGCTGGTTGTTATGATCAATAGTACTCAGATACTCTTGACTCACGGCACTAACCAGCTTAAGGCAATATTTGGATTGCTACATTTACACCCAGTGTATTGCAAGAAACAAAATCAATCTCAAGAATTTAAATGGAGCAGTTACCTTGTCTAATGTGCACTTGGTATAAAGTTCCCTGAGGAAATGAAATTGCCCAAAAGAAAAGGTTGAATACTTTGACAGTGTCAGCACGTTTGTCAGGCTTCGTTATACCTGTATGTCCATCTCAACCACGCTTGTTGCAATTTTTGTGGCCATTTTCCAGTTCTGGCACCAGAAGATGACACATTGTTTTAATCCTGCCAACAAGGCTCCGATTATAAGATCAATTATTTCACAGACTGTGGGAAACCGCAGTTAATGAGCACAACATCAGACCGATGAGCACATTTAACCGACAGTTGTGTTCCTACAGCTGTCAAATTCTTATTTGTACATTATTATTATTATTATTATTATTATTGTCATTTGTAGGTGGAAGTAGATGACATAACCTTTTTCCGACAAGGCTGCCTTCATCAAACCAGAAATCATTTGAAATAACCAACATCATTGTAACTTTGGGAGGTAACAGTGTTTGTTACTTATAGTAAAAGGCTTATTAAAAGTACGATACCTGCCTGTAAATATCCTTACTATCCTTATTACTGAATTGTTGGAGAAACAAAACTAAACAGGAGAGTTCTGTTTTGCTGCTGTTCAGGTGAACAGACTGTCAGCCCACCTCCTCCCTCCTGTTTCATCACTCTCGTACCTTCAGGCTGCTGCCATGTCCAATAACAAGCAGCACGGCCCCGACATGCCTGCTAACCTCAGCTGTGTGACCGTGGAGGCGAGCTGAAGCAGGGAGTGTTTCATAGCCGACGTGCCTGCTTGAATACACAGCCCGGCTTCAACGCGCTGACCTGCTGCGGTCTGCTGTAGCCTGCAGACACCGTTTGGTTTTAATGAAGCTGCGTATGCACAGACAGGTTCCAGATAAACTGGAGGATGTAGCCTGTAGGAGAGGAAGCTACATCGAGTATTACAAACATGGATTCAAGCTGGGTTTACTCCTGCATCTGTTTAATCTATATTTAAACAGGCAGGCTCACAGTAGGTGACTGGAAACGCTTGTTGCATGATATCTCCTCCATCTAGGTTTGTACTGAACCACAATAATGTTCTGGCACTGACAGAAATGTGTCCCTGCCACTCTGTATCAAACCTTACAGTAGTGAAAGCAGACATTGAATCTGTGTTTGTTTTAACATTACGGTCAAATGCAAACACAGCTTTCAATGCTTTCTGCTGTTAATGTGAAGCTGCAGCAGTATGACATTTCGGTTTTCATTGGCAGTAACTAGATCCTGCATGTTTCCCGGGAATAAAAGTATCCAGGCTGCAGTTGGAGGGTGTGCGTGCTGCAACATGAAAGCTCCCCAAAAGTGAAACCATAACATCTCGATCACCCGAGGTGGTTAGTTTAGGAAGCGCTTCATTTGACATGCAGCAGAGTTTTCTATGAGCCGACCACACATTTTAATTATTTTAATTCATCTCCACCACAACTACTGATAGGTTAAAATAATGTAAAGCGCAGTGACCGGAGTCGATAAGATCAGTACAAATGAAACTAATTATCTTTCCAAATGTGCAGATATTTGGCTTATAAAACTCCCAAACTCTTTCTGGATTATTTCTCTTTTTAGAACAAGAACTCGTGCCAACACATTTCAGAAGTCTAAATAGACAAAATAACCAAGCAGTTTAAGTTATTTTTCAAGGTGACATCATGCCTTTTCAGTAGTCTGTGTTGAACACAGTGTTAGTTAACCCCAGGATACCTTAACTACAGGAGAGAGGCTGACAGATTCTTCTAGCTGTTCAGTAAAAACTCTGTTTACTTCATTAAAAGAGATTTGTTTTGTTTTTCCACAACTGAGAGGAAACCTTGGACGTCACTCAGACTGACTGACAAGCCCAGTCCGGGGTGTAACACACACAGAGAAATGAACAGAGGAGGACGTACTAGTCAGTTCAAGTTGAGACAGAAATGCTGCGTGATGCGATGAGGCATGGTGGAGGGACGAGCCATGGAGACAGACGGACTAAAAAGACGGAAATACTTTAATAAAATGCAAACCACACACACACACACACACACACACACACACACACACACACACACACACACACACACACACACACACACACACACACACACACACACACACACACACACACACGTTTGTGATTATAATGTGTTTGGACAGAGCTCAGACTGCAGAAGCTGCTAGAAACAGGCGTATCACAACAAACTGGTTATAGTGGAAAAGAGCTGCAGCTACATGAAGAAGTGGCCAGTTAGTACTTGTGTTGTTTGGTATTATTGTACTTTTGCAGAGTTGACGTATTTTTGATGCTTGAAATAGGAATCACTCTGGTTCCTTTGACAAAAAGCCAACGGGATTCTTCCGTTGGATTAAGAAAATAAGCTCTGTGGCGAACAGAAGTTTATGACACTTACATGTTTGGTTTAGTGAGATAATCTTCACAAATTAACGCCACTTTTATGAGTTCTGAAGCGTAAATGCGACCGCCAGAAATAAAAAGCTCACATTAAGCCATAAACAAACTACACCACAGTCACATGACTTGAACGCCATCTCCAGTAAACTTCCAACAGATTTTGAGTTAGAATAGTTTGCAGGAGCGTGAGTATAAACACAACCAGGCTGTAAAGGCGGACCAGTGAGCAGGTAAGTCTCCCAGTTTGGCGTGCTCTGTAACAACCTCTGTAGTCTCATTTAGCCACTTATTAGCAACCGCCAGTAAAAGCTTCAAACTTCACCGATGAGGTATTAACAGAAGAAAACGTGACAATCTCTTAAGCTTGTGTTAACCACAGACCTTATTTCAGGCGTCTAACAAAAACCCCATTGCCTCTGAGGGGAGGGAACCGGAGGGGCAGAAATGCGGACTCATTTCCGGGTTTTAGGATTCATTTCTGCTGCACTATATAACAGATTTATATTTTCTCATTCATTCTGTAATGCATGCTGTACAGTACCAAACCTCAGCTTGAAATGAAACAAAGACAGTCCAGATAAAAAGCTACGGATGTGACATTAAACTCTAGTAAGGCGACATGTTTATGAGGGATTACTTCCTGGAGGAGACTTCCTCTCTCCTGATTTCCTACTGTGGTAGTGGTCAGCTGACAATGCTCAACACAAACACAATGAAGTAAAAACAAAACGGTTCGCTGTGAATGATCTCGCTCTGGAGAAGCTGTTTCTCATAATGAAGGTGAATAAATGGGAATGAATAGATTATTTTAATGTTTAAAGTTTCTTCTTATTGGTTATTCTGCATCTAACTTTGAATATTAGGGCAGCGTGATAATGAATCAGGTTATCCGACGTGATTATTGGTTTCAAAGGTTTCCGATCAAACTACAGTGTTGTGTGGAGTAATAGAGCTGTTAGTAACAATAGGATAACACTGGCAGGAACACAATGTCGAGTATGCAGTAAAAACAATAAGGCTCACAGGACAATAAGCAATAAAAAATTACATAATTGTTTCTGAGTGCTAAACATTACAAATAAAACTGAATCTAATATTCACTGAAAATAAAGACAAAACATTTGGAGGAAAACAATAGTCGTAGTTACAAGAAAAGTGTGGAGAGATAGAGAGAGAGAGAGATAGATAGAGAGAGAGAGATAGATAGAGAGAGAGAGAAATGTTGTTAGGGAACACAATTTGTCATTTGTTATGATTGGATTGAGCTAAATTATGACGATGTTTTTGTTGAAGCCTTCTATTACAACTTATATCTCAAAATAGAATAATATATATTCTTTAAATATTAGAACTTTATTCTCAAAATATTACAACTGAAATTCTTTGTTCCTAAGTGAAACCCATAACTTCTATTACAACTTATTTCAGAACTATTACAACTTTATTTTGAAAATATGACTAAAATACGTGTTTACCATCAGGGATGTTGCCTTTATACTAAGTTGGCTCTACCTTTAACATCTCTGACATTCCCATCTGCTTATTTTGATTGATGAATTTCTGATTTAAATTCCATAAAAATGACTATATTACAATATATATGGACACTGTGATCAAAAACACATATTTTATCCAGCTGCCAATCTCTAACAGTAGGTAGATAAATACCCAACTATCTATAGTAGAACCATATTGTTGGGACAGTATTGACACATTCATACTAAATGGTTAAAAATAATGTCGGGGAGGGAGGTGGGGGAGGGGGGTTGAGGTGTGAGCGACATACAGACAGGAAGAGGAAGACAAAGCTGAGTCAGCGCTGTTGGTTCTGCAATGCTCTGATCAAACTGTGCTGACGACTGACAGACAGACAGACAGACAGACTGACTGACTGACTCTGGGGTACTGATAGAAAACATCAGATTGCAGTCAGCAGTCAGTGAAGCCTCCCCATCAATTAGGGCCATTTCAGATATTTCCAGCAGGACAGTTCTGCCCGTCAACAGTCAGTCAGCTGTTTTCTGACTGTCACAAACCGAAACAGTCAGGAGTTTGCAAGATCAGTCGAGCTTTTTTTTTTATATCAGACTGCAGAACCTGTGAAGGTGCTTCCACATTTTCAGTTTCAGCATGACACAACACAAAAATCTAAACAGGAAATGTAAAAAAAACAAAACAAACTCCACATTTATCTATCTATGCAAACACACACACCCACACACACACACACACACACACACACACACACACACACACACACACACACACACACACACACACACACACACACACACACACACACACACACACACACACACACACACACACACACACACACACACACACGGTTGCAATTCTAAGAGTCCATCCAAACAGCAAACACAAGATACCTCGAGCTTTCGCCATCACCAACATACAAACTTCTGTTTTTCAAGAAAAGTGTTTCTACAGACAACGTCAATAACTGATGCCCACTTACTGTTACCATTGGACACAGCCAGGCTAGCTGTTTCCCCCTGTTTCCAGTCTTTATGCTAAGCTAAGAGCTAAGCATCTCCTGGCTGGAGCTTCATAAGTTAAAAGTACAGACATGAGAGTAGTATCATTCTCCTTATTTAACTCTTGGCAACAACAAGAGTTTGAGGAATCTTTTCTATCCAGCCAGGTAATTATACAAGTCGTAAGCAAGTTCAACCAGATCATCTAAATGTTTTATTTGAAGGTTAAACCAAGAGCGAGCGCAGCTGAAACATAAAAGCCTTTCTATAACACGGTCCTTTTAATGGTCTGTTCAATCCAGACAGGCTTTAAACAAGTGTCGCTTCCTGTGTGAGACAGGAAAGAGCTACAGGGGGCGCCGAGTGTTCACAACAGTAAATGAAACCTCGCCACTGTACTAATGTTTGTCACTTTCCTGTCAGTTCGCTGCAGTAAATAAAAAAAAGTGTTTGTGTTACTCACAGTGGGGACGTATTCGGATGGAAACTTGTTGGTGGTGTAGGAGATGAGCAAGCAAGTTTTCCCCACCGCGCCATCGCCCACCACCACACACTTTATAGTCTGCATCTGAGGAGGAAGGCGAGAGAAGAGAGGGAGGAAGGTTTTTAATTTCACACACGTATGCGCGTAATATAAATCACTTTTTTCAAAAATACATAAAGGCTGAATTTAAAAATCTTTTTAAATCCTGGATCAATATCAATAATACTAAACACAAGTTCATTTGAATGATAAAGCTTCACAAATTAAAAAAAAAAAATGAGATTCATGATTTTTCAGTTCCACATCTGGACAAATTGAGTTTTTAAGAGTAGCACACAGCAACACGGTACAGTCGCTATAATTCGGGGGGAGAAAATGAGAGTAGACACGTGGACGCTGGGGAATAACACGCTGGCGTATCCTGACACATCAACATGCAATAGGACGACTGAGGATTTTAAGAAAATATCACATCACAGTGTTTTGTTGAGGGATATTGTAACGATTCTCAAAAACACTGTAAGGATTTTTGTGTTTGAACCTCCAACCGCTGGACAACCTGTTGGAAACAGGGAATATATCACCTTGCTTACAGTACCGCGCTGTATTGCAATATATTGGATTGTAACTCCTGTATCATGATACATACTGTATCTCCAGATCTTTCCCAATACACATATCTCTTGCCAATAACCTACAATGGGCTTTTGTTGCTTTATTTTGACACTATCAGAATAACAATTTGATTATTTCATAATGAAAGGAATCATAATCGTGCCTATGACACAATGTTTTCTCGTTTTATAACTGATTCCAGTGGTGCAGTTTCTCTGTTCCCTTTTGTAGTGAAGGTATCATCATGAACACACCACACAGATAACATCTGCCGGTTTACAGCCACAGTCCTGATGCAATACGTCACTCACTTAATTTCATTTTCACTCTTACAGTTAAAATGTTACACATCGACAGGCGATGGATGTATTTACTGACATCTTATGCAATACATTAACCAAGAAATAATGAGAGTAATACACTAAAGCAAGGGTCTGAGACTGTGGACACCCCTTCACCCCCCCTGTAGTTGCTTAGTTTTGCTCAACTCCTGGATGCTTACGGACAATGATTGTTATTTGATCACATAGATATTCAACAATTGAGCAAAGACAGCTTAATATTGCTGTTTGACATAACTTCAGACTACACCAAATACATAAAAAAGGTCTGTCCTTACACATTATTAGTTTGTGACATTGGGAATGTCAGAAAGACTGTAAAATTCCCCAAAACTACTGCCACACAGTCAGGCTACTGTATGTAATCTCTTTTAATAATTAATGTAATTATGTAATTAGGGCTGTGGATTGGCAAGAATCTAGTGATACGATACGTATAACGATACAGGGTTTACGATCCAATATACTGTGATAAAATGTGATACTGTTAGTTACGACGGAGTATTAGGGCCATACTAAATAAATCAAATAATATTTAAATAATAAAATTACGAGAATAAAGTCGTAATATTACGAGAATAACGTATTGATAATTTCGTCGTTAAACAGTTTTGCTGGCTGAGCCAACAGGCTGACAGTTCTCATAATATTATGACTTTATTCTCGTATTATTACGACTTTATTCTCTTAATTTCCCAAAATAATGTCTCTTAGTCTGACCCTAACACTCTGTCGTAGTTAGTCAAGGCTATTGATTCTTTAATTTTAGAAAAACTTTCATGCAACCATATTTATCACAGTCCTCAGTTTATGTTTACAACACTAATATCTAGCAGTTATCTTTTCCACTTCCACTTCACCGAGAGAATAAATGAATAACTGTGTAAGCGAATGTGAACAAGCTGCAGCCTTCGGCCTGTATGTATCAGGTTGACTGGGATGTCATGAGCGTCCGTAAGTGTGAGAGAGTTAACAGGAACAGTGGTAGCTGTGTAAAGTCAGTGTTTACTACACACAGGGCTGGAGGTCCTGTGACCACGCAGACGCTGAGCGGCTCACATACCCGCGCTGGCGCTTCATTAAGTGGGACAATGGTAAAGGGGGTATGGGCTGCCACTTCATCACTGCCTCTTTGTTTGGGCCCTTTGGCAATAGGCAGCGCTCAGGATGAGTTAAGTACAAATTAACCGGTCATCTGCGGAGACCGTGACACCAGTTATGTCTGCATAGAGAGGTTTCACAGACACATGCACGCAGATAATTTTGGAAAATGCAGCGATAAGTGGCAACACGTCTTTCAGGGAACTATTGTTTCTTGTAAACAACGTTATCTGCATCAAGTTGGTCCTGTTCTGCAGTGAATACCGATCACTTTCGTTAATTAACAGACTACTCTTCAACTCTACGAGGTTTCATTAACTCCAGAGGCGTCGTTATGAAACAACTAGTTGGTGAATCGATTTGTCAAAAGAGAGGAAATATGAGCTTCCTTCCAAGTTGCTAAACAAAGAAAAATGTAAAAAGATTTTCTAATTTTTAGCTTCTTTAAATGTGAGGATTTGCTTCCTTTTCCTTTTCTTTTCTTTTTACAGTTTTCTATCATTTTGTATGCTTTACAATCAACCAAAAACATAATGAACAGATGAATTCTAACTAATGAGAGTAATTGTTAGTTGCGTCTCAACATTACGATTTATTTGTCGATCGACGGACTAAACTTCTGATAATCCATTAACTGTTTCACTCGCTGGTTCCAGCTTCACCTGAGGACTTGATCCCACACAGTTGGTTGGACCATCTTGAGACAATCATAAAAGGACAGTTTTCAATAGTTTACAGACAAAAAGCAATAATTTAATGATTATAATCAATGAAAATAATCTTCAGTTACAGCCCGAATGACACAAAGACAAAGATATTCAACTTACAATGACATAGAGAGAGAAAAGGAGCAAATGCAGAGGTTTGAGAAGCTGTAACAGGGCAGTGAAATTAATCAATTATCAAAATAGTCTATGAACTTATTGATTAATCGATTACTCCTTTTCCCTTCTGATTAATTCCCACATACAGCCAAGAAAACCCAAAGGGATATTTACTCAATGTGCAACTGAAGCAACCGTTTGTCAGCTCATATTTAGTCATGAAACAAACCTCAAATAAAAATAACAATCCAATAAAAGATCAATAAATAGCCAGTCAGAGTAAAGCACTGCCTACAGGAAGCTAAATAACTCCAGAGACACTTTCAGTCACTTCCGCATAGAAAACTGTGGCCAAAACTTAAAAAGAATAAACCTAATATGAGCTTTAACGCAGGCCAGCTCGTCGGTTAGTCTGTTTGTACGGAGTTAAAGTTAGAAAAAGGGACTCGGTTACCACTTTCTGACAGCTTTTACGAGCAAATAACCAAACGCTGGAAAAAGTTCACTCCTGCGCAGCTAGCCGAGGGTAGCTAAGTCGGGAGCTAACATCCGCCAGACCTCCACCCGAAACCACAAAAAGGGCCTATTTTAAACTAATTTAAATACAACACAACGACAAAACAACACTCCAGAGGGCTACGTGTATAAGAACCGATAGAAACTGAGGCCTGAAGATGCCCTAATGAACCAGAAACAGTCGCACCGGTAACTTTTCTCCCGCTGAGATTTCACAGGCTAGCAGAGTTAGCCGGGCGCCACTCGTTTGTTTTGACAGCTGCCGGTTAGCATTGTTAGCATTGTTAGCATTGTTAGCAGGCTAACAGAGGAGAAGAGTCTCTCTCTCGGCTGTGTGTCTGTGTCTCTGTCGGTGGTTCACCGGGTGTCGTCGGTAAATGTGCCGTTAAGAGCCGGTGGCCGGATACTAACCGTGTCTGGTTCAGCCGCTCGAGTCGCTGCTAATGCTGCGCTGCGTTCAGGTGCCTCCCGTAAACTCCCCCTTCCTCCCTCCCACCAAGCAGAGTGCGTTCACTTCCGCTGAATTCGTTGTTGTCTGCTTTCTATGTAATGTTATCAGCAAATGTAAATGTGGTTTTTATAATGTAATGTGACTTGACTTTGTTCCTTCTTATTGTCTGCAGTACTGTTTAAATAGTTTTATGGGTTATTTTTTTAAATTCATTTTTAAAAAGGGGGAAATTTCTAAAAAGTGATCCTGTGACATAGAGTTATTTTAAAGGGAAGAAAGGAAGAATAAAAGAAAGAAAGGGGGGAAATATGTGGTCAAATGTGCTGTTGATTTTTATTGTAAATTGTAAATGTTATTCTTATATTCTTAACAAGGATAGATCATTAATAAATAAATAAATAAATAAATAAATAAAAGAAGACTTGTTCTGCAGCGACCTGGTGATATGGAAAAAAGGTAGTAAGTGTAGAATATATTCCAGCTGTAACCCAACCAACAGTTTCTTGTTTCAACATGACAAAAATACTCCTGTGCACAGAGCCACACCCATTAGTCCCTGAATGCAGCATCAGGGTGTGTCAGTTTAACATTTAAGGTTTAATTTCAGTTCAGGTGAGTTTAAACTTAATGTTTGAGGTTAATTGTAAAGCTTAACTGACATTAAAAATTAAATAATGAATGTAATTAATTATTACATTCATTATATGAATTATTTTATATTAATTATCAACTTATAAGAGCAAAGATAACAAAAAGTGGCATTTATAGTATTTCCACAATCATCCTGACGCTGCGTTTATTGAGAACGACCTCAGACTGAAAGATGGGCTGGTTTCTCAATGACCACCAGAGGGAGATGGAGTACAGACTGTTGGTGTTTTTAGGGTCACTACATTACTTACTTTAGAGGATTTAGCACAACCTAAGGGCAGGGACATGGCATCGGTCCCTGCTCATCGACTTCAGGTGTCTCCGTCAACTGTATGTTCTCACACAGTTAACATACTGTCTATGTGTTTACATCAACTCCATACATACATTATGATTCTCCCCTTACTTTTGCCTTTGAGTAGGCTAACTACAAAGTGAGAAATACATATTTTTTTTTACATCCTTGTGCATTGTGATATTTGCCATGTTTGGACAATGTGGGATCTTGACTGAAATTCAACATATAACTGCACTTATGTAATGCTTTGGTGACTTTGAGGCTTCTCCACATGATAAATGGAATGAATTGCAGACAGGATGAGCTGTTTTTCAAGCTAAACAGGTGGATAATGTGAGGTAAAAATGTGTGTAAGATTCCTGTGTATGTAAGGATGGAAGTCAAATGGATGCTGGATGACCAGTAGTTCAGATATCATCCTTATTACACAGCGTGTCCATCTGGTATTGTATTATAGCACTATGGTAGTTTCAATAGGAGCTGCGTTCAGACCCACAATGATGGACTCGAGACTTTGACTCAAGTTGGTCTAATAAGTCAAAATTGAGAGTTTACTTGTAGTTGACTTCCTGAAGACTTAACTTTACTAGAGGCTTAAGCTGTGAAGTATTAAGTTCTGGCAATCCTGACATTGATAATAATACTATCAATATTATGGGCAATATACGTTTTTATTACTTTTCAATATCATTGTCAATACCAATACTTTCTATTTTACTTTATTTTAGTTTACTTATTTTAAATCTACCTTTCATTGTTATCATATTCCACACTGGTGTTAGCACTTATTATATTATTACTACTTACTGTCATTTTTGAGCAATCTCTGGCTCAAGAAGTTCTCTTTTATCTTATCTTATCAACTTTATTAATCAATCGATTGTTTCCAAACTTATACATCTGATAGATTTTGTGTCTGCATAGTATGTAAACATCTAGCGTCTAGCATGTTTCAGGAAATAAAAGTCAATCAAAGATCTCATTTTGTCAGTTTCTCATGTGGTTTTTTAAACTAAACTAAAAACAGAGGAGTGAGTGATCATCATGAGCGAGTTAATACATAATAAAAAAATCAATGGAAGACTATGAAAGGCAAAGATAATAAAGACCTTGTGCATTATCTCTTTAATAGGGATGAGAAGTGCTTGTTTTGGCTGGCCTGGCTGGCCGTGGCGTGCTGGAGGTGGAGGGAGATCGCTGAGGGAAAGACCAGTCGACCTTCAGTGGTAACGCAGCAGAAAATGAGATAATTACAATGCAAGGCACTTCTCCGTTACCCTTTCCCTCCGGATGGCCTCTCTCTTTCTCTCACTTCACAAGCATTTCATCGCACTTTGATCTCTCCTCACTGCTCTTTTTATCCCTTCCTCTTCTCTTTGTTGCTGCCTCCTGGTTTTCTCTCTCTCTCTCTCTCTCTCTCTCTCTCTCCCTCTTCATCTTTCCCTCTTGCTCTCTCTCTCTCACCCCCTCTTCATCTTTCCCTCTCTCTGTATGTGTGTCTGTATCTATCAGTTGCTCACCCGTGACTAACCAGGGGGATGGATGTCAAGGACGTTGTGCTGCTTGTCTCCCAAAGATAATCCCATTAAACTCAGGAATTTAATTATAGATTATCTCACACACTCACACTCACACATACACACACACACACACACACACACACACACACATCCAGAAACGGGCACACAGGTGCGCCCAAGTGTACAGAAACACACATAAATACAGAAACTGCTACACCAAGATAATACTCGCCCATGCAGAGATATTTTATCGCACACAAAGTTAACACACAAAGGCATGAACACACACACTGGCTTCACCCCGTTGCCCTGTCAATGTGTATCAGTGTCACCCTCCAGTCGGCATTAACAACTCCACCAGTCTGTTTTTAGAGCAGCAAGGACGCAGCTCAACATGATTTTGCTGTGAACAAAGGAACAAAATGCACAGAACTCATCTGAAACTCAGTCGGTTTACTGTAACTGCCAAACAGGATGTTGTATATTGTGCGTAAGGTGCTGACTGTAGCCTTTTACCACCAATAAATCATCATTTTCCTGCGTCTTAAGTGATACGTTATAATTCCTATAACATATTATTGTTATATTAGTGCAACTGCTGCAATCCTCTGAGACATGGCGGCAGAAGATACCAGTTCCTGATGACCATACTGTAATTTCTCTGACAGCAGTATCCAGTTTGTTGCAATCTGCAACTTCACCACTAGATGCCACTAAATCTTACACACTGGTCCTTCAAGTCAGTACACAACAATACATTATGTCTGTTTCACGCTTTGTTACCCAGTAACAGATATTAACATTCGTAACTGATAAAACTAAGCAAAAACAAAAAAACAAAACAACAACCCTAAGACATTTATTATTTCCTTCTTATTTGTTGGGGCAAAACAAAATAAAAAAAACCCCTTCCCAACGAGAAAACATGAACACAATGTCAGTGTTGGACAGCGAAAGTGAAAAGAAATGGCATTCAGTCTGCCGGGCTGCAAGCTCTCTCATATAGTGAGAACTTTATAGTTTCTAAAAACTGATTTTCATTGCAAAAAAAAATACTTAAACAGGCACAACTTTAGCTTCTGTGAGGCTTTGATTTTTGATTGGTTCTCCATCTGCCCATAACTTCTTTGTTGTGTCTATAGCTATAGTGCGTGTTGCCAGATATGGTCGCTGAATGCTGGTTTTGGCCTCTGCACAGGCACGATGACAGAAAACCTGGCAACCGCACTGTGATGGCAAGTCTTTGGGAAGCTGTGCTGAGTCACTGCGTCTAGCTGTTGCTCACCAAGAAAGAGCTCCTGTAACACCACCAAAAACCCTCAAATTGGAATAACATTTGTGTACAGATTGAACACATTAGATGTATGTTAATTGCCTGTTAGTTTATCGAGCTTTAGAAGTGGTAATAGGTGTATATTTACCTTTGGATGGCCAGCTGTTTCGCACCTCAGATGACCGCTCATTGTTCTGATGGCCCTTTGTACTGAAACCCCAGTATGTCCCATCGGACCGAGAGCCAGTTTATCCAACAGCCAGTTATTCCGAAAACAAAAGCCCACAGCTCCAAGGCCTGTTTTACTCTCCCTGGAGTGTTTTTGCCCTTAATATCTCAGTGTCTTTGGACGTGCAGGAGAGGATGAAAGTGAAAGGTGACCTTTTTCTCCTCATTGTAACAATGACGGGGGCAGTTTGGTTAGATTTATGCATCAAAACCAGTTGGTTACATCATAAAGATCATTGTTTCTGTTAAAATAAGTATGTTAGTTACATCAGTTAAGTTATGTCCGTGAATTGTGGATAACAGAGAGAGTATTTTGCAAACAGCAGACTTTAGGAGCAGTTGGATTTTGTTTTTTGGTCCGATGGGACATTTTCTGGAATATTTCGGTTTTGGAATAACGGGCCGTCGACACAATAGCGTGGCACCATATCTCAAAACTTAATGCTAAGCTAAGCTAATTCCAGCTCTGTACCTTAACACACAGACATGATGTCACGCTCTTTATCTCACTCCCAAAATGTTTGAAACTACAGATCTGACTTTTTGTCATGCAGGGATTGTTTATTTAGGATCTTCCTTCTCATCTGGCCTTTTGGGTTATCACTTACCTCGTAGCACACTTGGGGTTAAGTGCCTGGCTCAAGGGTACACTCGGTATCAGCGGCCGCCACGGCACTGAGCGGGTGGCCCGACAAATCGAAATAAATTGATAATTTGATGGCGTTATAGCACAACACTTTCTCTGCTTTCAAAGGGATTTCTGCTGCTGCATTGTTTTCAGTGCCTGTGTGGTTAAATGCTACACACACACACACACACACACACACACACACACACACACACACAGAGCATCATCATGTCTGAGTGTGGTGGAGAAGGATGGATTATGTAACTGTATATACATCGACTGAACCCCACTGCAGCACCAGAGAGGAAGACAGGGAGACACACAGGGAGAGAAAGAGAGAACCGGTCCTCCCTTCATCTATTTTTACCTCCTCTGTCGGGCGACGAGCCTCTGCACCCCTTTCTTATCCCTTCATCCCACCCCTTCGTCCATCTCCTCCTTTTTAATTAACCCTCCTCTTCTCCTCCT